AGCTGTCTGACTCCAAAACCTCTTTTCTTCCACCTCACACCCTAGCACAGGAGCTAAAGCAGGGTGCAGATCAGCTGATTCCAGGCTCAGGGGAGGCACCACCTCTCTGAAGAAGGCCACTGCTTTGTTGCTCCCTGCTAGACAGCGCTTGCTTGCCTCCCCCTACAACCCTCTTTACCCTCTGGTTCCCACCTCCTCTGGGCCCCTTCTGCACAGTGGTGAAATCTCACAAATGCCAGCTTATGCCCCTGGGGGGCTGGGGAGATGGCAATCAGGAGGGAGAAACCTGACAAACCCAGTCCCAGACCTCAGTGGTCTCCCTCCTGCTGACACCCCCTCCCAGTTCCTGTCTGCCCCTCCCCTCTGTGGGTCAAGCTTGCCAGCATCTGTGTCTGTCTCATTGTGCTCTGGGGGATGGGGAGAACAAGGGGGGTGAGTGGGTGTCTATGTGCCTGAACATAAGGGCTCCGGGTTCATTCTGACACTGAATGAAAAACTCACCAATTATTTGTCCAATCTCATTAATATGCAGACAGACATCTGTTATTTAGGAGTCAACAGCAGAGGCATTTTCTTGGGGGGAGGAGCACTTATGTACATGTCTCTCTGTCTCTCTGTCTCCTGGGTTGTAGCTACTTGGAAATCACCCCACTGCCTGGACCTGGGGCCTCCCCCTCTCTGACCCTCACCCCCAACCTTCAGGAGAGGAAGTAGGGGATTGACTAGAGAGACAGAGAGAGACCTGGGAACCCAGCAGGGGGAAGGTGGGAGAGGGGCTGCAGTGTGTGGAAGAAAGTATTTTTTTAGCAGAGAGGGAAGGGGGTATACTGCAGAAGAGCTGAACCCCTTTCCTGGGAAAGAGAGAGAATGGAGTTGGTGGAGAAAGCTGTGCCAGGATTACTGACCCCTCCCCTCCTACCTCCTTCAGCCTTTGGGACCAGTCTGAGGGTATCTGGGGTGGGGTCACGATGGCAACATGGAGTCCTCACCCAGAGACTTTAGAACAGATAATGGGAGGAGTTTAGAAAAATGGGGAGCAAAAGACCTCAGCTTAAAAAAAAACAAAACAGCCCTGGCCGGTTTGGCTCAGCAGTTAGAGCATCCACCTGCGGTCCGGAGAGACCCGGGTTCAGTTCCCGCTAAGGGCATGTACCTTGGTTGCAGTTTGTCCCCAGCCCTGGTTGGTCATGCGGGTGGCAGCCACTCGATGTTTCCCTCTCTCTCTCTCTTCCTATCTCTCCCTCCCACTCTATCTGTACAAAAAATGGAAAAACCTCCTCCGGTGAGGATAAAAAAAAAACACCTCAGCTTTTGGAGGAGTCACTATAGCTCTCTCTAGTCCTTAGGATAGGTGTGAGAAAGACACAGCCACCTCCCCTTCTGTGTTTTGGCCTTCCTCCAGCCTTTGAATCCCTAGCATAGGCCGCCCCATCCAAGAAGCCTTCCTGGTTCCCTAAGGAATCAGAAGTACTGAGCCCTACAGCTCAGAAGTACTGGATGTCTAAGTTGTAAAGAATAAAGGCTGACCTCAGGTCAGCCCTCTTTAAAGTGTCCAACAGCTTTTCTACATCCTTTCTCCTCTGAATCTTCCTCAACAACAGGAGGTAGATGTGATGACCAGCTTCCTGTTTCCGGGTGTGAAAACTGAGGTTCAGACAGGTGCAGGGCCTCCTGGCCAAAGGCTCCCCAGGGAGGAAGAGGAAGAGCTGGAACTCAGGCCCTCAAACCTCTGCCTCCAATTCTTAAGCTCTTTACATGACTGTCCCTGCTGGGAAGGCTGAAGGCACAGATCACAGGAGATGACTCTGTCAGCTGAAGCATTTCGGGGATTAGACTAAAGCATTTCGGGGATTAGACTAAATCCCTGCCTCTGCCCCAGTCCCAGCCCTTCCTTCCCCCTCCTCCCTCCTGAGAAGGCTGATTGCTGAGGTTAAGAAACACTGGAAGCATCCCAGAGTGATTAGTTGTTTATTTCATTAAATGATTAATGAGAGGCTACATTGTTTCCCAAAAGGATGTCTAACTGGTGGGGGAAACAGCTATGGAGGAGGAAGTTAAGTCTGACTCCGGCAACTGGGGTGAGGTGGGGGTTAAGTTCCCTGTCTCCAGCCTGCCAGAACACCATTCCCTCCTCCCACATATTGGGTTCCTCAGCCCAGAGGTATAGCCTCCCCCCCCCACCCCCCACCCCCACCCCACCCCACCCCCACCCCCGTGGAAATGTAACCTCTGGCAACCCAGACCTGCAGAGGAGACCAAAATCTGTTGTCAGTGGTATTGGAAATGTATTAAACTTTGGGGGTTCCTCCACCTGATTTATCTTCCTAATTATGTTGCTTTAGGCGGATATTGAAATGCTGTTGCGTTCAGGAGCAGGGCAGGAGAGGGAGGCTGGGAGAAGACAAGGGCACACAAACTACACTTTGGCAGCTGCAGGCTTGAGCCTGCTTTGTAGCAAAGTCCAAAGTGGAAAAGAGAAGCCACAAGACCCCAAATCCCAAGTTGATGGTACGGCAGTTCCCTGTGGAGGGTGAATAGGTCCTCTGGGACCACACTGAGGGAAGGGCCGGGGAGCCCCAGCCCTGTCCAGCACCCTTAGTCCAGGACTTAGGGTCCTTGAGGAGGGTTTCAGAGTCAGCCTCTAATCAGGTCGCAGTTTGAAAAGGTGGGGTGCCCCATGCCCTTGAAGCTGTCCCAGAATCCCTGAGAACACTGGTTGAGATGGACCAGGACAGGGTCCCATAGGAGAGGGAGTGGAAGGGGTGTCTGATGAGCCAGGAGGAGGTGGGGATTTCTTTTACACTCAGTGCTGGACCCTGGCATAGGGGAAGGAGAAGCTGTTTTATTATTTTTTATCCTCACCAGAGGCTGTTTTTCCATTGATTTTCAGACAGAGTGGGAGGGAGAGAGAGAGAAATATCGATGTGAGAGAGACAAATCAATTGGTTGCCTTTCGTATGACCCTGACAGGGGCTCGGGATCGAACTTGCAACCAAGGTACGTGCCCTTGAGTGGGAACCAAAGCTGTGGCTCTTTGGTCTATGGGCCAATGCTCTATCCACTGAACACCAGCCAGGGCAGGAGAAGCCATTTTATATTTTTATTTGACTTATCTTTTTGTTACTCCTCACCCGAGTATATTTTTTTCATTGCTTTTGATAGAGTAGAAGGGAGAGAAGGGGGGAGAGAGAGAGAGAGAGAGAAAGAGAGAGAGAGAGAGAGACATCGATGTGAGAGAGACACATCGATTGGCTGCCTCCCACACAACCCCATCCAGGGCTGTGGATGGAACCTGCAACCCAGGTACATACCTTTGACAGGGAATTGAACCTGCAACCCTTTGGTCCGTGGGCTGACGCTCTAATCACTGAGAAAACCAGCCAGGGTAGGAGAAACTATTTGAAATGAAACGTCTCAGAGCCAAATCCTCCAGCCCACATCACCTCATCCAGATAACCCTGTATCCAAAAACCAAATCTGGTCACTTCATTCTCTGCTTGAAATCCCTAGTGCCTCCTCACATCCTCAGAAGGAAGACCCGGTTCCCTTGTGGGCCCTGAGGTGGCCTCAATGTACCTTGCCAGCCGTCTTCTGCCCTTCCCACCAGGACAGCCCAACTGTGCCATGTTGTGTCTCATCTCCATGTGTTTGCACGTGCTCTACCCTCTGTCCAGAGTGCCTTTCCTGCCCCTTTCCTGCCTGGCAAACTCCCTTTCAACCCTCAGGACTTGGGTCAGAGAACTGGCTCCCAACGCTGTAAGGAGATCCTACAGCCAAGGCACTGTCACATCTGGGGTACCTCTTTTTCCTAATGGGCTGCTCCCCAGAGCAAAGAGACTGGTCCTTTCAGTCTCCCAAGCCAGTGTCTGGCACACAGTTGGTGCTCAGTACATATGTGCTGAATGAATGAGGGAAGGATGGGCTGTGATTTATTGAGGAATCCCAGCAGATGGGAGGGTAAGGTCTGTGTTCTCTCCCAGAGTATGTCTGGGAGAAGTGTCTGGGGCTGGGGGAGGGGAGGGCCAGGGATGGTTCCTGGGGACCAGAGCCAGGGAGGGAATACAGGACAATGTGAAACCAGACTCCCGAGAAAACAGACCAGCACTGTCTTTCCTGACAACAAGTGCTCCAGCCAGCCCCTCCACCAGCTTCCCTTCGCTAGGGGGCTGGAGGTGGGGTGACCCTCAACTCAGCTGATGCTCCCTCCAAAATCATCAAAGCGCTCAGGATGAAAAGAGGGTGAGAACTCCTGCCCCCCTCCAAGGAAACACCAGAATCAAACCTCTGTCCTCTTGGAAAACTTTCTCTGCCCAATGTAAGCTTCTGGGATGTGGGGGCTTTTGATGCCCTCCCTGCCCGGACAACTCCCAGGGCACCAGCAGATTCCAAGGTGGGGGTGTTTGGAGATGGTAAGCAAAGGGCCTGGACCACTTAAGCAGGACCCCTCCAACACTAGCAGGGTGTCCCAGCTGGGCTGAGTAATGAATTGCACATCAGTCTGCTTTAAAACCCCCCAATGGTCCGGCTGGTGTGGCTCAGTGGTTGAGAGTCGACCCAGGCACCAAGAGGTCGCCGGTTCGATTCCCGGTCGGGACACATGCCCAGGTTGTGGGCTGGATGCCCAGTGGGGGACATGCAGGAGGCGGCCAGTCGATGTTCTCTCTCGATGTTTCTATCTCTCTCTTCCTCTACCTTTCTCTCTCTCTAAAATCAATAAAGGAAAAACAAATTTTAAAAAAAGAAAAGAAACAAAAAAAACCCTAATGGCTTTAGGATTGTCTGGGTCAATAACAGATGAATATTCCCAAGATATCTCACTTCCCCACCTCTGGCTCCTTAAAGGACACTGCTGATCCAACCTGTGACTTCCTCTGCTTCTTCTGTGAACATAGACAGGAAAGTTCTTCCTTAAGTCTAACTCTCTCTCCTGTTGCTGGACATTGGTAGACTGGTTTTTTTAGAAAACAACAAAACTAAAACCACAGCCGTTTTCCATGGACTTGGGCTTTATTTGGGGACTGTTGGGGGAAGAGAGGGAGGAACTAGGGTTGGGGGAAGGGGCTTCTCAACTTGCTTTTTAATTTAGTGCATGTTGCCTGGAGGTTAGGATGAGGGAGAACAGCTGTAGAAGTGAGAGGAAAGGAGAAGGGAAGGTCATGGAATGGACACTTTCCTTAGGGAAGGAAGCCAGGACCAGGATATGGGGACTGAGGGCAGGGAGGGAAGGCAGCCTACTGAGACTCGACCAAGGTCACTGCTTGATGCCAGTTTCCCTAACCCCTCTGCCCCATCCCAGCTCTTGGCCCATTTGCCTGTCCTGCTAGCTCCCTCAACTTCCTGTGGAGAGGAGAGGGATGAGGATGTGGGGAATGGTGCACACCCCTCCGCCTCTGGGTCCCTTGCCCAGGAGAATTGCTCACTCAGCTTGCCCTGAAGTTCTAGCCAGAGTCAGGAGATCAGGAAGCCAGGGTGTAGGCAGGGGGATAATTGTGCCCTTCACCACAACTCCTGACACTCTGACCCTTGTCGACTCCTCACATTAGGCTGCAACTCTTGGCTCGATCCTTGTGTATCTCGCCTTCGTTCCCACTCCCCCGGTCTGGCCTTCCTGCCAGCTGAGTGGATCGCTGCAGTCCCCGGCGAGAATCAGTACGGCGCAGCTGCCTATGGCCACGGCCAAGGGAGGCCATGGTGGCCACGTGGAAGACATCCCTGACGCTGCGCTCAGAGGACCGGGAGGAGCACTCTACGTAGGACACAGCCCCCACCTGCTTGGCCAGCACAGTGCCCTGGAAGGATGGAGTGCATGAAGGAAGTTATAAGGCCTAGCCGGCAGCTCCTTAAGGGGCAGGGAGGCTGAGGGCTGGGGGAGGGGAGGCGGTAAAGGGATCAGGGCAGAGGTCAGAGGCCAGGACAAAGGATGAACAAAATAAGATGTTTTCAAATCAGAGACTGAGAGGGTCAGAAGTGGGAGATCTAGGCTGGAATGAGGTCAAAGGTCTGGGGTCCCACCTGCTCATGTGTAACAGGGATAAGCCTCTGCTTGGACAGCTCCCTCAGTGTGGCCAGGTTGGTCCGCATGTCCAGTTTACAGCCAACCAGCACAACCTTGGCATTGGGGCAAAACTCCTGAGTCTCTCCTTGCCACTGGCCACCCTTTATCACAGCATACAGAAACCAACAATCCTCTGGACTCTTCTAAGTAAGCAAAGAGGTGGCAGAAGTGTGCTTGGGCTGCAAGCAGGGATGGGGTGTGGGAGAATGGAAAGGAGGAGAGGCCTGCGGTGGGGCCATAGGGTCTGTGTCCTGCCATGAAGCAGCTGCCAGCCTGGAGCCTTCCTGTTCTGAACCCCTTTCCCAAGTTTATTCCTGGGAACAGACCAATCCAGCCCTCCCTTCCCCCACCTGGGAACTGGGGCTGCCTTAGCTGACTTCTGTACTTTCACCATAGGCTTTTCTTATGGAAATAGGGGCCTGGAGAGGAGACCACAGGGCTTTCCTGAGCTCCAGAGACACATTCCCATCCAGTCCATCTGGGGCTCCCACTCCCAAGGCAATGGAGAGGGTGGCTAAGGAATCTCTTGAGTACCTACCTCTCCATACTCTCCCCGTGCACCCCCAGATATCCTACCTAGCTCTGAGGACTGATTTCCAGAAAAGGGGGTTTAGGAGGATGAGAGCTTCACACACTCTCCAGCTGATGGCTCATGCTGTGTCAGGACCAGGGTGTTTGGCCCCTCTCAGTCTAGTTTCCTGCTTCCCCAGGCTCCCACCTTCTTGAGAACACTGTCCAGTGTTTCTGGTCGGCTAATGTCGAAGCAGATGAGCACAGCGTCTGAATCAGGATAGGCCAGGGGCCGGACATTATCATAGTAAGAGGAACCTGAGAGAAGACAGAGGAGAGAGGGCAGACGAGGGTCCTGAGTGGGTGAAGGCCTGGAAGGGAATGGGAGACCTGAGCAATCCTGGCCAAGGGATGCTAGGATCAGGTAATGGCACAGAGCAGTTATTAGTAACCATCAAGGAGTCTGTGTTTCTCCAAGGCAGGAGCAGGCAGAGGGGAGGTTAGATAGCAGAAATAGCTCTCCACTTCCCTAGGGGTTTCTCTAACGGTAATCATTCTTAATATGTTCTGAGTCTGAGAGGCTCATGAAAGTTCTCAACATTCTCACAAAATTTTGCGTGTGATTTCTGGGTTCTGACAGACATCTTGTAATGACCTCGAGGGGACCAGAGTAAAAATAAAAACCCTCCTTTTTGGAAAAGGGAGAGAGCTCTCCGATCCTCTTGGGACTTGATCTCAGATTTCTACAGTTCTGTCTAGAGAAGTAGTTCCCACACCCAAAGAAATTCTAAATGTCTTTCCTAAACCAAATTCCCATCTTCTCAAAAACATGTTCCCATACAAAAAACATTCCCTCTCAACTTTCCCAGGTAGACAGAATCCAGCAGAAGGGACTGGATACTGGGCTTTTCTCCTTCAGGATATGGTTTCTAGGTATGTGAGCAAACTCTGCCTCAGTTTCCCTGGCTTTAAGCAGAAAATTAATTTTCCTTCTTCCTAGAATTAGATGGATGGGCTGAGCTGAGTTGAAGCCTAAAGGTCTAGCCAAGGGAGGTGTCAGGGTGAGGGCCCTGGAAGTCAGGGTGACCCCAGGGAGTTGGCTACCTGAAGTGTCCCACACGTTGAGCTCAATGCGGCGCTTGTCTATCTCAAAGCTCGCGGTGTAGTTCTCAAACACGGTGGGGACATAACTCTGCAGACACGGATGGGTCAAGATAAGATCCTCCAGTCCTCACCCCAGACAAATGCCCTCCTCATTCTCACACCCGTCCAGCCCAGTCCCTGGACACAAGTTGGTTTGGTGTTGGGCAAAGGGGAGATCCTGGGAGCGGCTGCCTCAGGAATCTGTTAGGCTTCCAGACCCCCTCCCGGCCCTTTCAGCCCTTAGTTCTTCCCCTTTCCAATGCCCAGGACCTCGGACATCCCCCTAGTAACTCCCTCCGGGATCCTCTGCTTCCCCCAAACCCCATTCGTCTCACCCTGATCCCCAGTTCCTCCCACCCCAATCCTCTGCAGTCCTTCCAAAGCCCTCAACACCATCCCCCGGCCCTCTGAGCCTCTCTCTATCGTCCCTGGTTACCCCAGCACCCATTTCTGTCCGTCCCCTGAGCCCCAGTCACCCACACCCGCGACTTCAGCTCCCCCGGCCCAACACGCCGGTCCCTCACCCCGGGGTAGGCGTCCTTGGCGAACACCTGCAGCAGCGGCCGCTCTGCCCTTCCATGGTCCCGGCTATACTTCGGCCCCCAGCGCAGCGCCCCTCCTGAGCCCCGCTGCCGCCTACCCCGCCGCTGCAGCTGCAGCAGCTCCGGCCTCCTACACCGGCATCTCGCGGGCCCGCGCGGAACCCCCACCCGGGGCCTCGGCGCCCCTCAGCCGCGCCCCCGGCCCCGCCTCCCGCCCGCGCAGCCCGGAGGAGGGGCCCAGGGTAGCTGGGCCGGACCCAGGGAAATCTAGGCGGGAGAGCAGGATTGTATCGCGCTGCTGTGATCCAAGGGGCCCCTGCGGCTCTGGGGCGGGCCGAATCGGGTTATTCGACTGATGTGACATACTTGGGGTTGGGGGTGGGCGGAGCTTGGGCGAAGTTCTGAGGGGTAAGGTGGGATCAGCACACGCAGGAGGCTCGGGCCTTTTGCGCCACGCGTGCACGCCGGTGTGCTAGTGCGGACACGAGCAGGGGCGACCATCCACTTCCTGAACAGCAGGGGGTTCGAGATGGTAGGGCAAGGGGGGAGACTTTTGGGTTCGGTCTCCCTCCCACCTGCTCAGGTCCGGTAGGGAGCCTTGGGGCTAGGAGGGTATGGACTCCAACATCTCCAACAGGAAAATGGTGAAGTCATGGCTTTCCGTCCCCTTAGAAACGGATTGCCTAGTCTGGGGCTATGATGATTTAAAGGCTTACCTGAACTAGCAGGGAGGCTAGAATGAGCTTCCAACCAAGCGTAGGGTGAAAAGTTTTGGCGAGCTGCGTCCTCTGGTGGGTACTATGGGGAGACGGAGATGGAGAGCGAAGAGGCATATCCAATGCCCAGGGCTGATGGAGCCAGAGACAAGCTCTAAAGTCATTTCAGGCTTGATCCGGAATCTAACAATAATCGAGCTACTGTTTTGCCCCTGGATGACATCTTTTACCTTTTAAAAGTGCTTCTTTTGTGGTGGCGCGACAGAGTCAAAGAAAGGCCACTAGAGAATTTAAGTCCAAATAAAGGCCGTTTATCCGGCTTGCGTCTGATTCTGAACACCCCTGTGACAGAGTCCTCAGAGATCAGCCTGGATATACTTTATTAGATGCCTTTTACACCTTAAAGGAAAAATTTAATGATATAAGAAAATAGGATCTTCTTGATATAATGCCCTGGGCTACAACAGTGCTGTATAGAATTAGTTTGCCTTGTGGATAACAGGAACACCCAGGCACATCCAAGTATTTCAAGGTACATTGGGTCACACTTCACCCTGGGTTTCACAAACACAATGCAAGCCTAATTCCTTGAGATTGTGGGAGAGGTTGAGTTTCTGACTCAAGACCTCCAGGCTCCCTGGACTCTGTCAAACATGTAGCCGACTCTGAACCATTTCTTGGTTTTGTGAGTATTCCAATTTACTGAGGTTATTTTTATCTCTATCCTGTTGATTAGCCCTGGACAGTTTGGCTCAGCGGTTGAACGTTGGCCTGTGGGCCAGAGGGTCCTGGGTTCAGTTCCTGCTAGGGGCATGTATCACACACACACACACACACACACACACACACACTATATCTATCTATCTATCTATCTATCTATCTAATCGGTTGATTAAATTCTTTTTTTTTTTATTTTTGTTTTTTGTTTTTTTTTTTTTTTTTTTTTTAATCCTCACCCGAGGACATTTTTCCATTTTTTGCACAGATAGAGTGGGAGGGAGAGAGAGGAAGAGAGAGAGAGGGAAACATCGATGTGAAAGGGACACATCGAGTGGCTGCCACCCGCACGACCAACCAGGGCCGGGGACAAACTGCAACCGAGGCACATGCCCTTAGCGGGAACCGAACCGGGGCCTCTCCGGACCGCAGGCGAATGCTCTAACCGCTGAGCCAAACCGGCCAGGGCATGTTGATTAAATTCTTTATGAAACAGGTTGAGCTAGAGGGCACACAAATGACTTTACCAATCATCAGTTATGGAGCTATAAACAAGTCAGCACACCCTGGCCACTTTGGCTCAGCGGTTGGCACATCGGCCTGCGGAACAGAGTCCCAGGTTCAGTTCCCACCGGGAGCATGTACCAAAAAAAGAAAAAGAAAAAAAAGTCAGCACAATAATTTACCAATCATCAATTATGGGGTTATGAACTGTCAGCACACTTTATATGGAGGGTAGTCAATTTAATTAATTTTTTTTATCCTCACCTGAGGACATTTTTCCATTTTTTGTTCAGATGGAGCCGAAGGGAGAGAGAGAAAGAGAGAAACATCGAGGTGAAAGGGACACATCGAGTGGCTGCCAACCGCGCGACCAACCGAACTAGGGCCGGGACAAACTGCAACCTAGGAACGCGCCCTTAGCGGAAACCAAACCCGGGTCTCTCTGGACCTCAGGCCGAAGCTCTAACCACTTAGCTAAACCGGCCAGGGCGGTAGTCGATTTAATTTTATCTTTACCCTTTACCAAGCAACATCTTCACTATTTTACAGAAGGCAAAATTGAGGCACAGAGTTTTAATAAAATCACATGGAAAGTTCTAAAGACTCTATCTTCCTGCTCCAAGTTTGCCACCGATAGACCAGGTGGAATGGGTCACATATGGGTACAGTCAGAGCCTGAGGAACAATTTGGTTAGGTTCCTGTCCGCAGGTGGCTAACTCCCTAAATTTGATGTCAGCTCAGGTTTTGGGATTGTCCTTCAGACTGCCCCTAGACATATTTTTTAACTTGCGTAAGGTTTATTATGAATAAATAAGTAAATTAAATCACGATCTGCATTACCCGGAGAATGTCCTCGCGTGTGTTTGTCCGCGGACATTCCTTGTTTCCGCTTTCAAGAGGCCACAGTACCCGCTTTGTGGCCCTTTAAGGAGGCGCAGGAGGCCCACCCCCGGGCCGGCGCCCCGCCCCTTCTGCTCGGAGTCCGCTGCTTAGGCTTATCCTGACGCGCGCCCTGCCCTGCCCAGCTGTGTGCACTCTTCGTCCAGCTGTGTGCGCACGTCGGGAGTCCTAGCCATGTCCACGGAGGGAGAGGTAGCCGAGGTGACCGCCGAGGTGGCCTCCGAGGCGGCCCCGGCCGCTTCGCCGCCGCCGCTGCGCTACCTGGTTGTCACTGGCTTCGGCGGCTACGACAAGGTGAAGCTGCAGAGCCGGCCGCCCGCGCCTCCGGCCCCGGGACCCGGCCAACTGACGCTGCGCGTCCGGGCCTGTGGGCTCAACTTCGCGGACCTTATGGCCCGGCAGGGGCTGTACGACCGGCTGCCGCCCCTGCCCTACACTCCAGGCATGGAGGGTGCGGGAGTCGTGACCGCAGTGGGCGAGGGAGTCAACGACCGCAAGGTGAGCGGCCCAGCCCAGGGCAGAGCTGTGCAGGTCACTGGGTAGTGGGACAGGAGTGGGCGGACGCCGGGGGTGTGGCAGAGCGGGGGAAACTGGCACCGACCCGGGTAGACCGGCATGGAAGACGTAGGAAAGGAGCCTGAGTTTGGAGGCTCCTGGAGACCTGGATTCATATTTGGGGGTGGGAGCGTGGAGACGGAATTATCGCCCCCTCCCCAACCATTTTGTGTGTGTGTGGTACGTGCTCATAGCGGGAACTGAACCCGGGCACTCTCTGGTCTGCAGGCCGATGCTCAACCGCTGAGCCAAACTGGCCAGGGCCCCAACCATTTTTTAATTGTGGCCGCCGCCCAGTGGCAGTGGTGGTGGTGGTGGGTGTTTGTGGGGGGAAACAATAAGGCGCCCCTGCGCATGCGCGTAATATCCTTACTACCCCTCCCCAACCCACCCACCCCAACCCCAGTAAAACCACACCTGTACCCCTGCTCATCAAACACTCCCCGGGTATCTGTGGTCTGTGACGGTGACTTATTCCTCAAGGGAGCTTGAGGAGCTATGTAGTCGGGGTTGGGCGGCGGCACATGGCTGTGCCAGAGCCCTGGTCACATGCAGCCCCGTGGTCTGTGGGGGTGTGCGGCGGCCCCTCCCACATCAGGGAGAAGAGACAAGGCACGCCCATCATATGGACGCCTGCCACCACCCCTCCACCAGCCCTACAGTGCCAGTCTGATTTTCGTGGGGGCAAAGGAGGGGTACAGGGACGGGGTTGAGATTGGGTCTCTGGATCTTTGTTTTGGAATCTGTCTCCCGTGACTACAGTATCTCCTCCCCCGGTGATTCAGACATCGGGTCACGACCCTCGTGGCTGCCCTTGGGAATGTTCCAGTGGGCAGAACCTGCCTAAGCCTTCCTTGTGGGGACCCTCAGAAACCCCGGCAGTGCTTATTTGGACTGGGGTTGTGGGGGGTGTGGCACCGGGAGCAGGTTGGCCCAGCTCTGCCAGTCTGTTTCTCCTTTTCGTTTATCATTAATCTTGGCCACAACCCAGGACACTGGAGAGTTCCAAATGACCAACTTTTTGAGAGACTTGGGGTGAGCCTTTGCATGTCATTTGTTCAGGGGTTTCTTTTCAAATCAGGCCCCTGCAAGAGAGGCCCCTCAGATGCAGCCTTTCTCTTGCTGGACCTGCCAGTCCTAGATCCCAGAGCTGGAATTCTTGGATTTATTTGTACATGCAAACATCCTCTTTAAAGGGCTTCTTCCTGGATTCAGCTGTGGCCCCACCCTTTCCACTGACTTCTAAATAACCCCACTCTTGAGAAGGTGCTAAGAGGACTATTTTTTTTTATGGGGGGAATTATAGTTCATGCTACTTCTGAAGGCCACCCACCTAACCTCCCCTCCCTACACTTTCCAGTTGGTAAATATAGGATATCCTGTCCAGGGTAAGAACATGGTTGTAAGAGGCTGGATTCTGTGGGGAGACCCCTCCCTGTCTCCTGATATCAGCCCTGCTCTGTGATGATCGGAGAGGTGGGCATTAGTCTGGGTAAGTGGTGAGCCTTGTTACTGGGCCTGGTCACCATCCAGACTGACCACTGTATTTTTGCCGGTCCTCCAGGGTGATTGCTGAGTCTGCTAATCCTGAGTCCTGGGGTGGAAGGCTTTCACTCCCCACACCTCATCTTAGAACATGCTTGTAGGGAAAGATCCTAGCCTGCCCTCAATCCTCCTTGCCAGTGGAATATGGGGCCTTGAGGATATGAAAAAGGATATGTGGGAGAATCCCATCCCTCTTCCCCATGGATCCCAAATCTCCTTAATATACAGAATTCCCATCATTCCTGGCAGGACCAAGACAGAGCCAGATTGTTCCAGAACAGCACCCACACCTCCCTCTCCACCCTCTTCAGAGAGTGAGGAGAGGCCTTTCTTTTTCCTGAGTATGCCCCCTTTTCTGTGCCCTCAGCTGGAGAGAAGAGTTCTGTTTTCTTTGCTCCCTTTCCTTCCTAAAAGGAGGCTCTCCTGCTTGTGGCTGAGAGTGAGGAAAATACCTTTTCCTGGTGAGAGGGATTGTGTGGCTCTCTTTGTTCATCACCCCCCCCCCCATACACACACACACACACACACACGTCTCTGGGTGAAAGTGTCCTCTAGGCCCCCAGTGCTGGCTCAGATATTTCTCCTGAGGGGACCACACTCAGTCCCAACTGCTCAGAGATCTTTACCTGTACTGTGGTATGGCACTTAGCACATACTCCCTGTTCCTTCAGTTACTGGATTGGTAACCTCCCCTCCTAGCTACTGTTATTGTTGTTATTATTATTATTAGCTAATGCTACTAAGTGTCTACTATGTGGCCGACATTTGGCTGAAAAAATGACTAAATGAATTTTTTGTCACTTAATCCTCATAACTGTACCTATTTACAGATAGAAAAATTGGGGCTCAAAAAGGTTAAATAATTTATTTATTTATCTATTTTTTGGTATGTGCTCCTAGCTGCTTAAGGCCTAGCAGGAACTGAACCAGGGACTCTCTGGTCTGCAGGCTGACACTCCAACAGCTGAGCCAAACCGACCAGGGCTTAAATAATTTTCTATTTGTCCAATGTCACATTGTCAATAAACAGTGGAGCCTGTTTTTTTGTTTGTTTGTTTGTTTGTTTTTAACAGAAGCAGTTTAATCTCTTCAGTAATACTTTATACTGCCCTAACTGTAAGCTTCTTGCATCAGGGACCTTACACAATAGTGCAATCAAATATCTGTAAAATGGAGATAAGGATTGTATCTACCTCAAAGAGCTGGTGTTAGGATTAGTTACGTGTTTCTATACAAAGCACTTATCATTGGCCGTGGACCTTGGGAAGTACTCAGTAAAGGTAAGATATTATTTTTGATGACATAATTATTATTATTATTATTATTACCATAACTACCACTGCTCCTTCTGCTGCCACTTCATTACCAGGAAGAGGACCTCATACATAACAGAAGGTCATAAATTGCCAATGGGTGAATAAATGAGTGACTGAATCATGCTCTTCTTCCATTCTTCAAGGTAGGGGACCGGGTGCTGGTCTTGATCCGATCGGGCATGTGGCAGGAGGAGGTGACTGTGCCCTCAGCCAATACCTTCCTGATGCCTGAGGCCATGACCTTTGAGGAAGCTGCTGCCTTGCTGGTCAATTATATCACAGCATACATGGTCCTGTTTGACTTTGGCAACCTGCGGCCTGGCCACAGCGTTTTGATACACATGGCTGCAGGTGACAGCTCCTTTCCTTTATCCTCCCCCCCTTACCTTACGAGATTTCCTCCTAGGCCCCTTCTCAGTAGCATGTCTAGACTGTTGTCATAGTAACACCAGGCTGCCTTGGCCTATGGCACCCAAGGCCTCTGTAGTATTGTTGCTGTGGCAACATTCAGGCACCAGATCCAGCCTGGTGTGCTATCCACAGCAACCTGCCCTCACCCAGCACCCCTTCCTTGCCAGCCACTCTTCTCCCAATTCTCAGTTACAGAAATTGGACATGACATGAGGGCAGAAAGCCTCCCAATGAGCCCAGGCAAAATGAAGGTGATGGGCTCGGTCCTTGAGAGGCGAGAATGGAGAGTGGTGGCTGGGTGACTCTATATCCCCTCCTTATGAAAGTATCTTGCTGCAGGGGGTGTGGGTATGGCCGCCTTGCAGCTGTGCCGTACAGTGGAGAATGTGACAGTGTTTGGAACAGCTTCAGCCAGCAAGCACGAGTTGCTGAAGGAGAACGGGCTCACATACCCCATTGACTACCACACAACTGACTACGTGGATGAGATCAAGAAGATCTCCCCCAAAGGTGGAGTCAGGGTATGGGATGGCGTGGGACAGAGAGGGGTATCTCTAGATTGGTGGATTCTAATGCTATTCCTGGGCCCCTTTATTCTGTGACAGGCGTGGACATCGTCATGGACCCTCTTGGTGGGTCAGATACTGCCAAGGGCTACAACCTCCTTAAACCCATGGGCAAAATAATCATCTATGGTGAGTCAGTGGGCTGGAATGGAGAGGGAAAGTAAGGGGAAGTAGGGTGTGATATAGGACCCCAGGGGTTTTTTAATCTTCACCCGAGGACATTTTTGCATTTATCTTCAGATAGAGTGGGAGGGAGAGAGGGAATAAGAGAGAGAGAGAAACATGGATGAAAGAGAGACACATCGAGTGGTTGCCATCCACATGACCCTAACAGGGGCCTGGGAAGAACTGCAACTGAGATATGTGCCCTTAGGGGAAACCAAACCCAGGACTCTCTGGTCCGAGGGGCCGACGCTCTACCCGCTGAGCCAAACTGGCCAGGGTGGAGCCCAGGGTTTTGAATGAAGAAGGGGGAGGGACCCAGGTACTCTAGAGACAGTGCCAGGGTTAGGATGGTCCTGGATATTGCATTCAGATTGCTGCCTCCTAGGTGCACGTACCGTCATTTTCCTTGACACCCTTCCATGTGAGTCATAGTAAATTCTTTGTTTTTTTTCTGTGCTCCTGTTTGGGGATTATTCTTTATACAAAATCAACCAATCTGCCTTCCTCGTCCTACTCTCCTGGGCTTCTTAGATAAGCTGCATTTCCATTTAAAAAACTATTTGATAGCCCTGGCCAGTTTGGCTCAGCGGTGAAAGCATCGGCCCACAGTCCAAAAAGTCCCAGGTTCGGTTCCCGCTAAGGGCATGTACCTCGGTTGTAGTTTGTCCCCGGCCCTTGTTGGGGTCGTGTGGGTGGCAACCACTTGATGTGTCTCTCTCACGTCAATGTTTCTCTGTCTTCCTCCCTCTCTCCCTCCTGATCTACCTGAAGATAAATGTAAAAATGTCCTCTGGTGAGGATAAAGATAAATAAATAAATAAAAATAAACTATTTCATATACCTGAAACTAATACAAAATAATATTGAATGTAAACTGTAATTGAAAAATAAAAATTTAAAAACCATTTTACATAAAAATAAACAAATAAATAAAGATTAGAAACATTTTTTAGTTACATGGCGTTTTTTGGAGCCTAGTAGCCTGGAAGTGAGGGATTATGTCACTCCCTGGCAGTGGTGTGGATAATTGTGAGGGGTCCACAGGGGGCAGACAAACATGAATCCAGATACAGGCACCTGGATTCACAGGCTGTCTCCTTGTCTCTCAGGAATGGCCAACCTGGTGACGGGCCCCAAGCGGAACCTGATGGCCATGGCACGCACATGGTGGAATCAGTTCAGCTTGACAGCTCTGCAGCTGCTGCCAGCCAACCGGGCTGTGTGTGGCTTCCACCTGGGCTACCTGGATGATGAGGTGGAGCTGGTCAGTGGGGTGGTGGCCCGCCTCCTGGCTCTGTACAATGAGGGTCACATCAAACCTCACATTGACTCTGTGTGGCCCTTTGAGAAGGTAAGTGTGGTGGCTCCGCAGGGAGGGCCTGGGCAAGACCCTGGAAGGCTGGGGACCCAGGGGTAGGATTCCTGGAAGGAGGCTGACTCTTTGGAGGGACTGGAGGGCACTGGAACCAGAGCCTTGTTTTCCTTTTCAGGTGGTGGATGCCATGAGGCAGATGCAGGAGAAGAAGAATGTGGGCAAAGTCATCCTGGTGCCTGGGCCAGAGAAGGAGAACTAGGACGGGGCTGGGAGATCTTCCGGACCCGGGAGGAGAGAAGCTGGGAAGCCATGTTATGTTGGCCGCCAGACCCTTGCATTTCATCCTCTACCATAATGCTCTGCCCTCTCTTTCCCAAAGGTCTCCGTGGTGATGACCTCTCCCCTGCCCTGTTCTTTCTCTTTAGCCAGCGATGCCCCCACCCTCCTTCCTGCCCTCTGAAGAGGTTGGGAAGTGACCACTTGGATGTCTGGGCCCTGCCCAGGGGACAGGGAGGGTCAGAGGGAGACCGGCTGCTTCCTGCCCCCACCCTTTCCCTGGGCCTGCTGTGCTGCTCCTGTGCCAAGGCCAATCCCTTCCCGTTTTGTTCTATGTGTTTCTGCTTCTGCCTCATCTCCCCTCCTGCCCTTGCCCCTCTACCTCCCCCAAAGAATTCAAATGTCAGCTCAGGATATGGGGCCAATCTGTGTGAGTCCAGCATGTCCCTGTTTCACCCTAATGTCCCTTCAGCCCGGGCTGACCTGTGCCCACCTCTGAACTCCTTTGCCACATTGCATGGCCTCATCATCTTGTCCCTAACTTCTTAAGCACAACTTGGCTTCTTCCACCTCCAGGTTTTCTGCCACTCTTAACCAAGGTTGCCTCTTACAACAGGACAGGAATCACACCTTCTCCCCTAGGTCATGACTCTGTGGGAGGGACACAGAGCTCCCCCTTCCTCACTGAGTTCTCTGAATTTGTTCTCAGTGCCTTAGCAATGGAAATCTTGTGCTTATGTATGTGGTGGGGGGCCCTGTCTCACACCTCCTTCTCCACCCTTGTACCCCCGCCCCAGTGCCTTCCTTGTTCTGGTGGAGCTGGGGTTTTGCTGCTGCCCAGTCCCACAACACTGCCAAAAATCTGTGTGTGTGCCAGTGTCGGGAGCAGGGGCAGCCCCTAACCTCCTAGGTTCTGTGCCATGTCTTGTCTCTCTTTGGGGCTGTCATTTCTCTATCGGTGGTTGAAGAGACAGAGATGGGGACATTTTCTCAGCTTTGCTGATAAGTGTGGCATTTACCAGCCAGAGCTCGGGAGGCAATGCTGTCTATTTCTTGTTCTGGGACCAAAGTGAAAATTAAGGCACATCCCCATGCAGTCATGGGAGGCTCCTGCCCCTGCCTTCTCAGAGCACAGAGGCACCTTTTCAAACTCAGCCCCAAACTTCGTTTACATGGGTGGGGAAATGGAGAAGGGGAGTAAAACGGGGTGGTGGGGGTCAAGACATGGGCCCCTGGAACCAAAGTGGGGACTTCCTGGGGTAGAGGTGTAACTCCCTCTGCTCTCTGAGCTGGAATTAGGAAGGGTTATTGCCCCAGCCATTGCCAATGGGAGGTGGCGGGTGGGGCTGGGCCTCTTCAGTGTCTAAATGAGGCCTAAACAGTGTGAAGTGTGACTTCTGTGTTGTGTACTCCATCCCATTACCGAAGCTGCCTTTGCGTTTGTGTCAATAAAAAGCCAAACCCTGGGTCCTGGATGTTGCTTCTGAGAGTGGAGGGAAGATGAGCTGGTGAAAGATCAGTGCTGACAGTGGAAGGTTAGGGTTTCTGCCCTCCCCCCAGCCTCCTTCCACGCCCCAATCAAGTTTCCTTTCATGAAATGAAATGAGGAAGAAGATCACGCCATGCAGGCACTTTTACTGTTCTGAGACGGCGTTTCACAACTCAGAATCCTGCCCTCTGTTGATTAGCATGATCACATTCATCCACATGCACCGGACCCCAGCCCAGTTTGAGAACCTTGGCAGAGGATTGGAGGGTGATGAGAAGGGCAGGCTCCTAGCTGGATTGGGCAGTGAAGATCGCCAGACCTCGCTCTCCTGGGGGCACGACTGTCAGGGTCTCCACCTCCCCTCCCCCACGGGTGGGCTTCTGGAAGTGGATCTGCAGGATGTCCTGCAGCTCTGGGCCATCCAGGACATCAGGAATGTTGAGCACCAGCACTGACTTGGGCACTGGCTGGGACCTGATCTGGAAAAGGAGTCAGGGGATGAGCTAAGGCTCATGAAAGTCAGAAATTGGGGGCAAAGGTTGGAGCAAGCAGTGTCCCTGGGAACATGGGAGGGGCAGAAAGCCTAGAGAGGCTGGCAGTAGGTACGTCAGTGGGGTTTGGGGGCTCATACTGTTTCTTGGGCAAGCTTCTAGCAGGACAGGTTACCTGGCCCAGCCCCCATTCTCTGCCTTCCTACTTACCTCTGCCTTCTGAATCTCTCCACTCATGTAGGGAGAGACTTGCAGAGGGAACTGCTGCCCGCCCAGGGGCACCGTGAACTGGCCAATCCGGCACAGGTTCTGGGCCACTGCAGGGACAGGAAGGGAGACCTTCAGCATCAAGGGCTTTCCTCCTCCGGGGCCTGATGCATCTGCCCTAATCTCCCTGGTAGGGCCCTTACCTTCATCCTTAGCGAAGCCCAGCATGACACCCCCATGCAGCAGCTCCCGAGTCTCCACATCACCACCCCCGTTCTTGGTCTTGCCAAAGAAGATCTCCAGCTTGTCCAGCAGCTCCTCCTCATTCAGCTTGAGATTAGCAGGAAACCCACTGACCAGCACTCTCCGGCTACTCTTCTGGCTGGATACCTAGGGGTAGAAAGAAGGAGTGGTTCCAGGCACAGCCCCACTCCCAAGTACCCAGCTACATGGCACTCCCTGCATGTCCCAGAACTCTGCCATTCTATCACCTGGATGGTTGTCACCATGGGTAGCTCCAAGGGCTGGACCTGCACCCGCAGCCGGCACTCTTCCAGGTCAATCTTATGCTCCTTTTGTTGTAGCACCTGGTTGGCCACTGGATGGGGGGAGCAGGATCAGTACTGGGAAGCCTCCCAAGCTCCCTCCAAAGGCTTCCCAGAGAGCTCACCCTTGGGGTCATCGAAGGTGACCAGAGCAGAGCCTCCAGGCAGAGGGTAGCAGATCTGCAGGTTGGAAACCACAGACTTGGGCACTTCCCTGTTCTGCTGAGTGTGTCCTCGGAACACCAGGGGGACTTCAGGCATTGGGAATGGGTCCTAGAGGTGGGGGAGGGGAGGCTGATGTAGTCAAGGGATGAATACATGTATTGGAAGAAAAGCTGGGTAAATGAGTAGATGAAAGCAGGTCAAGCCTGTTCTGGCACTTTACATACAAGATCTTAGTTTGTCCTCACAGCAGCCTGTGAGAGAAGTAGCTCTACTTTACAGATGAGAAAACAGATTCAGAGAGTTCAAGTAACATACTCTAGGTCACAAAGCAAGGAATGAAACTAAGAACTCCCCAGCTCTTTCTACCAGGCCACACCCCTTCTCCCAGCTTACCTGGACTTGGGGGAAGTTCCTGAGCTCCCTTTTCAGTTGCTGTAGTTCCTGCAGTCTCATCTTTAGTCTTGTTTGCTCCTCCTGAAGGCTGTGGAATAGGTTCTCCCTGAGTGCCTGTTAGAGCAGAGGGCACAATCAGATCTCTACCAGCCTTTCCAGACAATCAATGAACCCAGGGGAAGAGGGTTCCTAATGTGGACTCTCCAGGAGCAGAGTTGATGCTCAGCCCAAGAACAACCCAACCCCTTTACCAGGCCCTGGGCCGGTCCTGGCCCTTTTCACTCAGGACTTGGTGATCTCAGCCACGCTGAAGGAACCTTTGTAGAAGCCCTGGCTGGTTTATTACTGAGACCTAGATTTTAACAATCACTGATTGATAGGGAGTGGTGGCAACTCTGACAAACTGGAGAGAGCACATCCCCACTAAAGTGGCAACCTCTTCTTAGCTCTAACAGTTTGGTTTTTTTTACATCGGAATGTGGTTGTAGTATCCCCTACCTCCCCATTTTTAAGGGAAATCAGAAATCTGGATTTTTATTTGAAAAAGATAGCTCAATGTTAAAAATATCTGAAAAATAATATATATTAGTGGGCTGGATTCAGTCTTCAGCTCATCCTCTTTTTACTTCTGCTTTAAAACTTGATCTAATTACACATAATTGAAAATCTAGTAATTGGTAATGCTATTTAATAAATAGCTTAATAAAAATAAATAATAGCTGTATAAATAGAGTATTTTAAAGAACAATTCAAGCCTGGCTGGTGTGGCTCAGTGGTTGAGCATCGACCCATGCACCAAGAGGTCGCCAGTTTGATTACCGGTCAGGGCACGTGCCCAGGTTGTGGGCCTGATCCCCAGTGGGGGGCATGCAGGAGGCAGCCAATCAATGTTCCCTGTTATTGATGCTACTTTTTTTTTTTTTTTTAATTCTCACCCGAGGGCAATTTTTTCCATTTTTTGTTCAGATAGAGTGGGAGGGAGAGAGAGAGAGAGAGAAACATTGACGTGAAAGGGACACATCGAGTGTTTGCCACCCGCAAGACCCAACCAGGACCGGGGACAAACTGCAACCGAGGTATGTGCCCTTAGTGGGAACCAAACCTGGGTCTTTCTGGACCACAGGTCGATGCTCTAACTGCTGAGCCAAACCAGCCAGGCCTCGATGCTTCTATCTCTTTCTCCGTTTCCCTTCCTCTCTCTCTAAAATCAATAAAGAAAATAGAGAACAAAAAAAGAACAGATCAAGCAGGGGAGTGTAGATGTGATATCAGCAGGAAATGGGGAACTAATGCAGATTTCTGAAAGGGTGTGAGGTGATGGACATGGTGTTTAAAAGAGATCCTGGTAGTGATGGCAGGATGAACTGGGTAGGAATCCCGTGGAGTGAGGGAAACAAACCCAAGCTCCTTGGCTCTAGTACCCACCAACGTGACAGGAGCACGTGTGAGGAATACATTTCACTAAGAAAAGAATCCAGACTCTGTGGATGTATTAAGGAGACAGAGGGGAATGAAGTGGAGAGGCAATGCCAGGTTGCAGGCTTGGGTGCCTGAGTTTGATATACTGTCATTGACCCAGAGGGCAAGGAAAGAGAGCCAAGCCTGCTAAGTGCCAGGCAGAGTTGGACTCTATCTCATTTCAATATCCCAAAACTGCCCTGGCCGGTTTGGCTCAGTGGTTAGACCGTCGGCCTGCAGATCAGAGTCGCAGGTTTGATTCTGGTCAAGGTCACGTACCTCGGTTGCAGTTTGTCCCTGACCCTGGTTGAGTCGTGCGGAAGGCAACCAGTCGATGTTTCAATCTCACATCGATGTTTCTCTCTCTCTCTCTACACTTCCTCCCACTTTATCTGAAGATAAATAGAAAAATATCCTGGGGTAAGAATTAAAATAAATAAATACAATAAATATCCCCAAACTGCCTCCTGTCTTCAATTCACAATTGAAACTTGTCTCCTATAAAACTCTCTTAAGGACAACACAGGCCAATTGCAATCACCTAACTAGAATTCAAGTATATAGGCTACTTATGTATACAACATGATAACATGGTGTCTAAGTGCAAACCACGTCCTGGCCAGTATAGCTCAGTTGGTTGAGTGTCATCCTTTGGACCAAAAGGTCACTGGTTTGATTTCTGGTCAGGGCACATTCCCGGGCTGCGGCTGGATCCTCAGTAGGGGATGTGCGGATCAATGCTTCTCACACCTCACATTGATGTTTCTCTCTCTCCCCATGCATCTCTATCTAAAAATCAATAAAAACAGCCCAGCCAGTGTGGCTGAGTGGTGGAGCATCAACCCATGTACCAAGAAGTTACCAGTTCGATTCTCAGTCAGGGCACGTGCCCAGGTTGTGGGCCCAATCCCCAGTGGGAGGCATGTAGGAGGCCAATCAATGTTCCCTCTCATCAATGTTTCTATCTCTCTCTCCCCCTCCCTTCCTCTCTCTCTCAAATCAATAAAGAAAAAATTTTTTAAAATTATTAAAAACATATTTAAAAATAAATAAGTAAATGCAAACCACTGTCCATCTGGTTTTCAACTGAAAAAAATGGCAATCCACTCTACCTTGAGTTCATTGAGAGACTGTAAATTCTGGATACTTTTCGGGTAAGTTTGTGATTTAAAGTTAATTTTGACTACATACATTCTTTTGCGTTACTTGCTGAGTTCAGAACCTCACCACTCACCACCACATAAGATAAAACCTCATGATAAAACCTCAAACCTCATGCTATCTGTTTTCATCACGGGAGTATTAGGAAGCAGTTTAGCATAACGGTTAAGAGCACAAACTCTGGGGCCAAACCTCTGGGGTTTATTCAGCTCCTTTTACTACTGCAACTTTTTAAAAAAAAACATATTTTTATTGATTTCAGAGAGAGGAATGGAGAGGAAGATAGAAACATCGATGAGAGAGAAACATTGACCATCTGCCTCCTGCACACTTCCTACTGGGAGCTGAGCATGTGCCCTGACCCAGAATTGAACTGGCAACCTCCTAGTGCATGGGATGACACTCAATCAATGGAGCCACACCAGTTAGGTGCTACTGCAAGTTTAAAAAATTTTTTCTTTATTGATTTTAGAGAGAGAGGAAAGGAGAGGGAGAGAGATGAAGAAACATCGACGAGAGAGAACATCAATTGGCTGCCTCCCTCACAATGCAACCAGAGCCAGGGACCGAACTGCAACTGAAGTACTTGCCCTTGACTGGAATAGAACCCAAGAGTCTTTGGTCTGCGGGCCTACGCTCTAACCACTGAGGAAAATCAGCCAGAGCTCCACCTGTGTTTAAATTTTTTTAATCTTCACCTAAGAATATGTTTTTATTGATTTTAGGGGGAGAGAGAGAGAGAAACACTGATGTGACAGAGCAACATTGATCAGTTGCCTCTCATTTGTGCCCTGACTGGAAATCAAACCCACAACCTAGGTATGTGCCCTGACCAGGAATCTAACCCACAACCTTTTGGTGTACAGGACAATGCTCCAACCAACTGAGCCACCTGGCCAGGCACCTGTATTTAATTTTGTTTGGAAGTGGTGCCTGGCACATAAATGCTATGGTACATGTTTTCTATTTAAAACTTTTTTTATCCTCACCTGAAGACATTTCTGCTTTTTTTTTTTTTTTGCAGTTATCTTCAGATAGCGTGGGAAAGAGAGAGAAACATCGATGTGAGAGACACACTGAGTTATTGCCACCACATGACCCCAACCGGGGCCAGGGATAAACTGCAACCGAAGTATGTGCCTTTAGCAGGAACCGAACCCAGGACTCTCTGGTCTGCGGGCCGACACTTCAACTGCTGAGCCAAACCGGCCAGGGCCATGTTTTTTATTTTAATAAAATCTATTTTATAGCTCTGACCGGTTTGGCTCAGCGGTTGGAGTGTCGGCCTGTGGTGTGGAGAGACCCGGGTTCGGTTTCCGCTAAGGGCACGTACCTCGGTTGCAGTTTGTCCCTGGCCCTGGTTGCTCGTGCGGGTGGCAGCCACTCGATGTGTCTCTTTCAGGTCAATGTTTCTCTCTCTCTCTTCTCTCTCTTTCTCTCTCTCTCTTCCTCTCTCTCCCTCCCACTGTATCTGAACAAAACATGGAGGAATGTCCTCGGGTGAGGATAAAAAAATTTATTTTATAGATGAGGAAACTGAGGTTTATCAAGGTTAACTAATGGGCCCGCCCTGGCCGGTTTGGTTCAGCGGTTAGAGCGTTGGCCTGCGGTCCTAAGAGACCCGGGTTCGGTTCCTGCTAAGGGCATGTACCTCGGTTGCAGTTTGTCCCCAGCCCTGGTTGGTTGTGCGGGTGGCAGCCACTCGATGTGTTCCTTTCACATCGATGTTTCTCTCTCTCTCTCTGTTCCTCTCTCTCCCTCCCACTCTACCTGAACAAAAAATGGAAAAATGTCCTCGGGTGAGGATAAAAAAAAACAAACAAAAAAAACTAATGGGCCAAAGTAAGTCAAACCCAAGGCTATTGAAGACGCATAAGGTCAGGACAGGACTTAGTGGAGAGGAAGGAGTCTGGGTTAGAAGGGCATTGTGATGGTTGAAGCCAAGAGGATGGAAGAGCTCTCTGAGGAAGAGCCTTAACAAGGTAATGTTGCCCTGGCCGGTTTGGCTCAGTGGTTAGAGTGTCGGCTTGTGGACCAGAGAGTCCCGGGTTTGGTTCCTGCTAAGGGCATGTACCTCGGTTGCAGTTTGTCCTCGGCCCTGTTTGGGTCATGCGGTGGCAACCACTCGATGTGTCCCTTTCACATCAATGTTTTTCTCTCTCTCCCCCTCCCACTCTATCTGAACAAAAAATGAAAAAATGTCCTCAGGTGAGGATAAAACAAACAAACAAAAAAGCAAGGTAATCTTTGAGGAAAATCTTTGAGGTCAAGAGAAAATGCAGAGAAGAAATAGAAGACATGTTTAGAGATAAGCAGGGCCAGGACTGGGAAGTGTCAGACACAAAGGACGAGGAAGGATGAAACTGAGCTGCAAGGCCCTGGCCGGTTTGGTTCAGCGGTTAGAGCGTCCGCCTGCGGTCCAGAGAGACCCGGGTTCGGTTCCCGCTAAGGGCATGTACCTCGGTTGCAGTTTGTCCCCGGCCCTGGTTGGTCGT